TGAAACTTTTACCTCTAGACTGAAATGGGTTTTTTCATAAAATATTAAACAGTGCCACTAGTTGAGTCAAAATAAAAAGGTTTGCGCACTATTTTCAAAAACTTTCATTAAAAGAATTTCGAGGGACGAAAAATTTTTAAGGATAATTAAACCCTATGCAGACGTATTCTTCTAAAACAATAGCTTTTTTAAGAAAAATTAATTTGTACTAAAATGTTTAGCTTTACATTTTATGCAAATACTATAGAAATTTTTTATCAAGACATTCGGGTAAACGAGTAGATGGACGAACGAAATGAAATTAATTACTTTCTTTGGGAATGTGCTAAAAAAGACGCCTTTTGAGAAAACCGGCTATGACACAATATCTGGAAAAGAAAACAAAAGAGGAAAATGTGTATCTGCTATTCCTTTTTATTTTCCTAGACCAAACCTATCATTCGGTTTCGGAAACACAAACGAGTTTTACACAACCTGTACATGCATCATATATATATGTATATATATACATATATATATATACACATATTATGTCTACATGCATTTTAATTACAATCATTTGGTATTTGAACGATTTAAATTCAATAAAACCGCTTAAAAAAACTTTAAATCATTTGTTTTGAACCAAATGAGTTGCATGATACGTACATTAAATAGCTACATATTCCATTATTGAGATTACTGTACATGTAGAATTTATCTTTATATTTCTAAATACGAAAGCTACAATTATTTTGATCGATTTTGCTAATTTTTTTCCTTTTGCTTTTTATTTCAACACGATTTTGAAAAAATTAATAGCAAGATTCTTAAAATATGTATGTGTATTCAGGATATATATGTACATATTATTGTACATATTTATAATGTATATAAATACTTATATATATACGGAATTGTGTAAAGTATGTAGGAAGAAGAAAACTAAGGCTAGGAAAACATGGAATAATTCGCCGACATCATCATTTTTATACGTTCAAATGGGAAATACTAGTATCTATACACATTTTGAGAGCTATTATTTGTCATGCGTGAGTATTACATATGAACATATGTATGTATATGAAAAATATACACATTCACATTGTATGTATATAGTTCATAATTTATTTTCTTTTCAGGCTTAATATTTTTATTACAGGTAGTGATTTTACCTACCACAACTTATTAGAAAAAAAAATACTATTACTCATTATTAAAATTCATTATTGTATGTATGCATGTATGGGTATGTATGTTGTCCCCCTTTTCAAAAGATGTTATAAATATAGAAATATCAAATATTTCATATGTATCAACTCATATTTTGGCATTATTTCGCTTTGAATCTTTATGAATTCGCTTTATTAAATCTTTAATTTTAAAATATTATTAGTGTTATAAAAAATATCCTTTAATGTCCAAATTTTGATCTTTATAATAACTGGATGATATCATTTTATTAAATATTAAACTTACATAATGTCGGTAGACTCTTAATAAACCAAATTGAAAATTCTACTCCATAGATTTGCTTGTTTTATCGATTTTTTTGTATACTCCAGCTTTTTATTCGTTTTTTTTTTGTTCTTGTTGAAGAAAGAGATGAAAAAATTTACCATTAGTGCCAAATCTTTCATATGCTTGTATACAAATAAACCAGTACACATTACACTAAAAATATAAAATGTATCTACAATTCAGTATCTATACATAGATACTATATAATTTTTATAATGAGAATAAGAAAAATGTTAAAGCGCAAAATCCGGGCTACAAAAGCATTAAATGATAAAAGAGATTTTTTCTCAAAAAAATACTTATATGATTTTCTATTTAATTATTTATAAGAAAGCTTTTCAGTACAAAGAGAATTTATTTAAAATTAAATTACATACGCACATAAAATATGATAAAAAGAGCAAAATACGGAAAAATAAAGAGACCGGCATTTTGAACTCTGCATGTATTAGTAAATTCTCTAAAATTTTTTTAATAACATGAAAAAAGTTAAATTGAATGTTTTCAGGTACACACAGGTAAAATCTACACTAAGATAATAAAATAATTTACCAAAAACTATTATTAGTGCTCGATTTACCTACATCCGTCCGTTTGTTTATTCCATCTGCCCGAACCATAGCTCAAAAATGAATTGAACTAACATAACCAAATGTTTAGATAATACTCTAAAATATTAGTACACGTCCGTATTTAATTTAGACTCGATCAAAGTCCTAATTCGAATAGCTGTTATACAAGTTCAAAAATAAAAATTTATTTTGTATCTTGGAGGCTATAATTTTATACAACAACCAAACCCTTTAAAAATGACTTTGGCTGACTCTATTGCCAGTATTTCCATTAAAATTGATAGTGAGTGTACAAGCTCTTGCTAGTAAATATTGCATATATGTACCACTCCAAAACTAAATAATCTCATATCTTCGAAACTATGAAAACAATTACGTTTAAATATAACAATAACACGTCTAGTGACAGGACCACCATTTCAATATAATTTGACTAGAGTTGTTGCCCAGATTTCTATGATCTTTTTTTTCAGATGGCATATAAGTTCTGTAAAGCACGGTCAAGCAATCAACTCTTTTTAAATCAATTTTAATTATATATTAAAGAATTATTAGAACTTTTATAAAAAAATCGTTTTAAAATAAATTAAAAATAAAATGTAAATTCGATTTAAAAAAATATGATATTTCAGAATATTGCTGAGTTGATACATAACCATCTCTTTTTACAGCATACATATAAATATGTATGTAAATAGCAATTTACTAAACAGTTGAAATTCAATCGTACTAAAAAAAAGAATAATTAAACTGCAAATCTACATGAAAAGACACAACAATAAAATGAATACGTACAAGTTTCCATTTCAATAACAAGTTTTTTAAGAATCAGTTCAATTACCAAACGCGATTTCAGCTAGAGGAAAATTGTAAATGGTATTTTTCCAGTACCAAAAATTTTCTCAGTGTATCCAATTGGCAATTTACTGATTTAACAACAAGATTCATGTTCCGATTCGAACAGAAAAAAGCACATTAAAAGTTCTTTTTTTTGCAAAAACGAATCTTCTTAAATGCAAACCAAGGGAAACACTTTTGCGAATATTGATGGCTGTGTTAAGTGTTTGTGGTGTGGTATATATTAATTTAAAGTGAAATTGAGCAAAATACTTGTGTAGGTAGCTATATTTAAATTATATTATATGTATAACATAAACGTAACCATATAGAGAGTGAAACGAAAAAGAGAGAAATCGGTTAGGGATGCCAGATATGTAAAAATTTTATTTTATTTTTATAACGTGTTTAAATAATAATAAAAAAGAAATTATAATTGAAAGATATTTGGTAAAAAAAACGTTTATTTTATAAACAATACGGTTTCAAGAAATTTTCGTATCAAAATATAAATTGCACTTCTGTCATAAAATATGCATAAGTACGTTAGGTGTTACGTTTTAGGTTAGGTGACACCAAACTTGCTACAAATGCGGTAAGGTTACTAAAGTTACAACAATTTTTCTTTGTTTTAAATACAAATATAATTGAAAAATAAAAGCAAAAATTTTTCAACTATTATGAATATAAAAATGATATCCCAATGTGCCGTGCCAATTAGTATTCCAAACGTACTATTTGAAAGTAACGGTTTTGTTATTATTAGTAACGGTGTTTATGAAATAGCTCGTTAACACACATGATTTTCCAAAATTTAATTTTCTAAAGAGAAAAATAATAAAAAATATAAGTTTCTTATTTTAATAATTTCGATATTAGCATCTAATTTTTTCCACTTCAACCTCTCCTTGAATTTTTACTACATCAAGTTTTGTAAAATGCTTACAACTTAAAAACTTAAAATATATCAGTCGAGCGACGGACAAATTTTTACAAAGCTATGAAAATTTTTGTTTCAACGCTGCTTTAAAATAACCCAAAAATTTTTTGATGTAAATGTGTATTTTACTTTTTTATTTAAAAAGACTTTAAGTAATATACGCTGTATTTTTATTTGAATTTGACTATTTCAACTTGCTCAATATTGAGTTTACCTTGTTTTACTTTTATGCGTTGTCGAAAAATATAAGCACAATTATAAATATAAAGTTAAGCTGTAAACGAGAATGTTTCCAATTATGAATAGGGAGTTAAGAATTTATTTTAAAAGAATAGTTTAATTTTAAAAATCTGCTCTTCTAATTTAAAAATGATTATTACTTGCAAAACAAATACCTTTCCTACCCAATACAACATCCGGAAATGTTATAATCTGTTGCTCCTGAAATTATGCAAAATAAGATATAAAATCTAGTGGATTTACGAAAAATATCCAGGAAAACTTCTTTACTCTTATACAAAATGCAGTTATTATTCAAAACTCTTCTATTCTAGCAACTGTTATTATTTTTGCTCCACTCAACTTTATGTCCGCTCAGCTTTAATAAAAATATTTACCTTGTTTTTCTACGATTTCAAAAGCAATTGTTATTTAGTCTAATAAAACTGTAAATCTTCAGCATTTCTCCTATAAACTACAAGACTCAAATATACAAACTATAAGACTCGAATATACGAATATACGAACTATAACATAATTCTACACTTATTTGACTTAATTGCAATCTTAGTTTAATTTAATATACTTATTTAGCAATATTTAGCAAAAACATAAAAATTCTTAAACAATTATGTTAATAGAAAATACTATTCTCTAATTCACTCTTTCCCGAAGAGTGAATTCCTTTTATTTTTCTATTGTAAATAAATATAAAATTTTATAAAACAATTTAATAATTATAATATATTACGTATATCTATGTGTTTGCTACTTAATAAATTTCTCTCAAAATAATTTTCTCTGCTCTTTTTTTTTAATAATTTTTTTTCCTCTCAGTTTCTCGCATATTTTTTTCTTTTTTTTATTCTAATTATAATAAGTACAGACACTAATAATTTTTTTACCTTACTCGTTTTCAGTTTTAATTGAACGGAAGCTCACTGAAGCAATCGAAATTAGTCTGTGAGAAGAGTTCAAAGCGCGTTAAAGGTGTTTTTTTCAAGAAAAAAAAGATAAAATAAAAAATATATAAAATTTGAGCTTTTCAAGTTAAAAAAAAAGAAAAAAATATTTAATTAAAAGAAATTAAAAATTTTCTTTTCTCAACATCGAATAACCAGCGAGAAAAAATTAAAAAGTTTATAAATTGGAAAAAAATCAAACAAATTAATTAAATTAATTTAAAATAAAAAAAGGCAAATTGTAAAAAAAATATACAAAAATTTCGGATAAATATTCCTTCCATTTAAAAGTAAAAAATTAATTTTTTATTATAAAATTTTTAGTGATTTTTATCTAATTAGAAATTTTTTGCTTTGAAAAATTTAAAAGAAAAAAAAATTTTTCTTGATTACATAAAGTAGAAAAATATATGGAGATTTTTTTTTTCTTCATGGAAAATATATATATGTATATACATGTGTATGTATATATATGTACATAAATAATATGTACTTATAATATGTACATATGATGTGAGTATGTGTATACACATATATATTGTAGAAGTCGCTTATGGATATGTGTGTAAATATTAATCATATATATGAAAATTTTAATATTTAATTTAAAAAAAAAATTAAATATAGAACACCAGTTAAATAACAATTCGTTATGCTTTAATACATTATTGGATTTGACGTATGAAATGTATTTAAATGTTAATAGTTAAGATGCATGTACAGCAAAATATTGTGAACATTCAGAATGTTTAATAAATCTACCATTTTAAAATAGTACTTTTCACACAATATTAAATTTATATTAAAATTTTAAAAATTTTAGTAGTTTAAAAAAAAAAAAAACAAAACGAGTTGTAATATTATATGTATTTATAATAGTTCTTAGTTTTTAATATTATTAATCTTAACGAATCTAGAGCAATTCGATTTATTATTGAAAGTTTAAAAAATATTAAAATAATAAATCATACTTAATAATAAATTAATCTACATTGAGTATTTATAATTATGTGTGTACTTATATATAGGCACGCAATATCTATTTAACACTGTTAGAAACTACTTATGCAATGCTTTTAAAAAATAATTAGTACACGTGTTAAAAATTCTTCAAAACTTTCTCTTCTTGAGCTAATAAAGATTCTTTTCATTTTATAATTTTTGTCATATTCGGTAACCGAGGCGGGATGTTTGTAAGACATTTGAAAATTGTTTTATATAAATAATTTTCAACTGGAAATAATCGTGGAAATATTTGCTGATAAAACGCAAGTTAAAAATTTATAGTTCTTGTTCTAATAATATAACAAAATTAAGTAATTATCATTCAATAATATAACAATTCAAGATTCGATTCATTTATTGTGAATTCGAACGAAAACTAAATGTTTCTTACCCGGGTGCTATAAAGTAATAGGATAACTATAAAATTCGTTTTTGACATAAATAATTTAAATATCTTAATGCCGAATTTATAAAAATATAATTCCCTAGTGAATAATAAATAAAACAAATAAAAACTAAAAACTTATTGAAACATAAAGGGGGGGTTATATTTTTCTTGACATGAGTCCATAGACACGTGCATAGTTATATTAAAAACGTCATAATTAAATTCAAACGTCATTATTGTTTTTAATATTAAATGCATGCATTTAATTTTGTATAATAAAAAAATAAATTTTTTTAAAATTAATTTGTGTAAAAAAAGTAAATTTTTTTTATTTCTATATTAATTTTTTGTAGCTACAATTTTTTTGCCATAAAATAAATTCTTACGTGTGCAACCTTGCTATAAAAATTAAAAACGAAAATGACTAAAAATATAAAAATTATAATGATGTATTTATACTTATTTAAAAAAAAATTCTGATGTGCTCAGCACATAGCCGACCACAATGTGTATTGTCTAGTTAAGTAAGAGTATTACTGAGGATTAGGAAATTGCGTTTTAAACAATTCTTTGCCATTGTAAGGACACTAATAAGCTTTTAGTTAACATACCTATAAAAGAATTTGGCTCTTTGCAAAATTTCGTTTTGTGCCATCCGAATTATATGAAAAATTCCTCAGCAACTTCTGGTATCCTCCTCCTCGAATTCGTTCCGTAGATATGGTAAAAAACGTAAAATCGACCCCCAGATTAATTTCCAAGCCCTAATCTGTCTGATTTAAATAATAAATTTTGAAGAAATGGATTGATTATTTCTCTTTAAATACACAAAAATGCATATTTGGCCCGTAGTAATCATGCAGTTGTTGACACCTGCTTTTTCCAAAAGTAAGGAGGTTTCGCGAGCTGTCGAATGAAGCTTGTATATGAAATTTCAAGAAAATCTTCTTGAAATTTCGAATATTTTCTTCAAAATGATTAAAAATGAAAAAAAAGGCCCGTTAAAAGGTCCAGTTCCCGAGGTAAATTTCATCAACATCGGTTCAGCCGAACTTGAGGTATCCCTCTAAAAGCAGTTTAATTACGCTTCCCTTATATGGAGAAGTGTGTTCCCATCGAAAAGTCGACATCTAAAATTTGGTGCCATCACATCACCTATTTTATTGTATATATAATGCGATCGGTAAAAAGAACAATTAACTATACAAACACACAAACTATGTGCAAATATATAATTTCTCTCATAAAGTAATGAATATTACAATGCTATATTGTGTATTGTACAAATATATATGTACATACTTTAGTAGATACATATCGTATATCGTATTTTACTTGCCATATAGGTATAGGTATACACATAGTTATAGAAATTTCTGTCAATATAGAAACACGTAATATATATGTATGTACTTTCTATATTAAGAAAATTAGCAAGAATAAAAAAGACAGTACAACAGTGATTTTGCTCGTTTTTTTTTTGAATTTTTCAATGGTTGAAAACTAAAGTAAAAAAAAACGATGTTATATAATCCACAAAATGTCAAATAATTATGAACATTATTGTTATAAAAATAGAAGTATAAGCAAATACATACAATATAAAAATACTGGCATAGATTAGTTTTTTGTGTATACTAGCATTGTACTCATACGAGTACTTTGTTTTTAATGATTCACACCCGTATGTACGTACATATTATATTACTTTTTGCGGTGTTAGAGCTTTTGAGTAGAAAAAAAATATTTCTTCTATTGTTTTATATTACTTTGTAATGAAGCACAGATATTTATAATTCAAATGGAATGGATATTATTGAGGATAAATGTACTGGTTTTTAAATTATTTAAACAAATTTTTGATATAACAGTAAAGGAAAACTGCTTATTAAAATGTTTAAGCAGTGGTGGATTAAGCTGTATACTAATAATAATTTTTAGTACCTTCACTTAAAATACAGCTATATAATATAACAAAATATCCTTGCAAATAATAAACTGTAATTAATGGCAAGAGTGCAATTAGAGTCGGCAAGATATACTTGCATAATATTAATTGATATTTTTTGATTAGTATGAGCTAGCAAAAAGAAATTATATACACTGCAGAAAATTGTAAATTATAATTTTTTAAATTCAGACAGGATTGATTAATAAAAATGGAAATTTAGAAAATTCTTTCATTAAAAGAAAACAATATTAAAAGGTCAGTAACTAACGGTGAAGACAATAATAAATCAATACGAGGAGTAAAACAATTAATTCAAACATTTTCAATGTTAAAGTTCAGCGTTTTCTTCTAAAAATGGTTCATTCGCCACTCATCAATAGAGCTTATATCATATAACAAACTCTTTTTTTTGGAACATAACTAATTAAAAATTTATAAATTTAATTTATGTTTTCTTTAATTTATAAGTATTGCCGCTAGTATTCGACATAAATGGCATTATAAATTTAGAGACTCATTTTATCAATTCATGCATTATGTAAAATTTGAGTACATGGGAATATATTGCTTCATATGAAATATTCAATTATCATAATCCGTTCATTATCATTGTATCTGTGATATTCATTTTATGTTTTATAAATAAAATAAAGCTTATATCATATAAGCAAAAGGATATACTTAAGTAATTCAAAAATACTTGCATATTATACTTATATCTACATTCTTACATGATTGTTATACGCAGATGTGTATATATAATAAAATCATATATCTAATAAGAGATAACTATGCCACATTGAAAAGGATTTTATGTGTTCATATACTTTCATTTGTTCATGTAGGAACTCATTTCGAATTATTTGTGTGTAGATGGAAAATATTTATACACTTGTGGGTAATTTTGCAAAATGGACATCCGTATATATATTCTTATAGACAATTGTAAATACGAAGTTCATAAACCTTTTCTACATTGTTTTAAATTTTCGCTTTTAAAATATCTGATGATGCTATTTGTTTTATAAAGAATAGAGTTTTTGTTAACATAATTGTGAGTGGTAGTAAAATTAAATTCACCAAAGTTTTATTTTCAAAACGATCATTGAAAAGAGAAATCAAATATTTATGTAAAAGTTTTGGCATTGCATAGTTATAGGCACTATTACTATCTTAGAGTTCAAACAATGACGATTTTAACAATTTTACAATTTCAAAACTTTCAGGTTAGAAAATATAAAATTTTTTAAAATTGAATAATAATTTGAATTTTTCTTGCACAAATTTAATTATTTATACAGTTATAGAAATATGTAGATATTTAAATTTGGAAAACATTATGTATATGCCGTATGCACGTATGCATAAGTCATGAATCTTAGCTAATATCGTCATGGGGATATTTGTTTTGGGTAAAAATGAAATTAGGATTTACTAAAATATTTGCTTAAACAGTTTATAAAATTGTTTGTTTTAAAATAGCTGTTTATGTGACAAAATTTGTAATACGAAACAGTTTTTCAAAAATGTCAAATATTCGCTGCTATAACATTTTTTTACAAGGAATTCAATCCCCACTTCATATTTGAAAAATTGATAATGCTGCATAATCAACTAGCTATTCAAAAAAAATATTTATTTTTAGTTCTTATTATTAAAGTTTTGGAAATCCGAACCTATACTTTATATGAAAACTTTTAGTTTTTATGCACGCGCACTACACTGTACATATACATACATACGCAACTTTTGGCAATTTAAAAGCAGAAAAATGTCAAATTATGAAATTTTGGTTTTCTGGTACGAAACCAATTTTAAAAATTTACTATACAAATGGCAAAAAATGCTACAAAGTATGTAAAATCAGAATAGTTTATTGCACATTAACTGTAGGAACGCAGTCACTCTTTTAAATTTCTGCTGGCACAAATAAACTACCTACATTTTCCGCTTCAGCATTTCCGATTTAATTTCAAAATGATTTTATTTTAAAATAAAATTTTTTTAAAACGTTTAAAACAATTTAATTTGTTAAATTGTTTAAAATAGAGGCGCATAAAACTTTGCCTGCCGGCAAATAACAGATCTACTCAGACTCAGATTAAATCGTAGATTTTATCGTATATGTAAACGTTAACTAAGAATTACAAAAATTTAAATTTTCCTTAAAAATAACAAACTTTGTAGAATGGAAGAAGTTAAAATTTCTAAAAATTCTAAGAATGTTTATAAAATATGAGTAAGTATATTTCTGAAATATGCAAATAAATCGACTTAATTCAAACGATTCGAAACGATTTATTTCAAACGACAGATATTTGACGAAATTGTTTTATAGACTTTAGATGTAAGTTTATGTAAGTTTGATTTTAGTCTCGTGTAATCTATTTCGTTATAAAATATTAAAATATTTCAAATTTTCACATTAGAGATACGTTCTCTATAAGTTTTTATTTCAACCTCATGATTCATTATTTAGTTCTTTATTATGTATCTATATGTATGCATGTATGAAATTGAAAGCAAAATCAATTATCAAAACAAAATTTTTTAATTTTTTTTTTAAATCTCTTAATAGTTTATAATAAAAATTTCACATTCTTAATTGGTAGAATTATTTTAAATGGTTTTACCTAATATAATTATTGCATTGTATTGAAATAAAGTTGGTTCAAACCAATGGTTTGTAAAAAAGGACTTTTCTCTTTAAAAGGTGAAAGTACTACTTTCAAAAGCAATATGGCTACTTGATTATTAAAGTTACTTCTACTCATATACCAAAAAATTTCAAAGATTGCGCATAATATTATATTAAATAAACAATGTATGCAATCCTTGCAATAAAACAAAAAAATATTTAAAAAGGCGTTAACATAATGCTCGAATTTAATGGTTAATTACGTGAGCTAGAACAATAATTATATTTTTTAATGGCATGGCTCTTACCGTTAGCTTTCTGCATTTTTAAAAATTTGAAAATGCTTGCAATTTCGCAAATCAAAGGTACCCAAAATTCAAATTTTACAAATTTCGAAAGACAATAACTTGAAAGGGGGTGGAGGTGGAAAAAATTTTTCTTTTCCTATGTTGTAAAAATTGAAATTTCGGACTTCCACAACCTAAGGTCTAGAAGAAAAAGGATGCGAAAAATTTTGACGGCTATTTTGTTTTCTTAAATTTCAAATATGGTATGCCGCGGTAGAAGAAGCCAGCCACAACTTTTCCGCGTTTACAGAATTTAAAAGATGTTTCTGGTTTTGCCACTATAATTACTTAAAAATAGCATTTTTAGGATTTTGAAGGGCTATAACTTTTAGAGGGATAGAAATAGGTAAAAATTTTCTTCTATGGAAAAATGTTTCTAGTATATATAAATATCAATTTTCTATCTTCAAGGGTGTAAAAATTTTGTAAACAAATCCACGGACGGACAAACGGATGGAAAAGCACTTTTTTTATATTTTTTTTTTGAAAAAATGCTAAAAACTGATTACATATATGAATATATAAGTGTACATAAATAAGATTTTTCCAACTATGCATACGTACCTGAATATATACAATATAATTGATAATTAGATTAAAATAGTAGTCAGCTGATTTAAAAATTTGCAATTAGAAGTGAAAGGTTGAAATTTATGTAAACATTTTCTGGGGGCCGAAAAATTATGGTAATTAATTTTCATGTAAATAAAACGTTAATAATATTTTAAATAAACAATTGTGTATGCATTCATATACATACGAAACATATAGTTATGTATATTTATGCATGAAGGTATAAATTTATGTATACCTTTTGGAATCATTCCCATAATCTCGTTCTAATTAAATGTTGACTCGTTCATACTTTATTATTGTTATATTTCAAATTTCGTAGAAATCATTTCAATATAATTTTCTTTTTTCATTATTTTTCTAATTGAAATCAAAATTTATATATTATGTATTTCAATACATATATGTATCTGTTGAAATAAATAAGAAATATAAAGTAAAATTCAAATAATTAAAATAAAAATAATCTTATTAGAATTAAACTTTGTATTACATTGAAATTATCCCTTTATTCTGCATAATATTTACAACGGTCTCGTTGCTATAACAATTATAATAATTTGTTATGAATTTATTTTGTGCCAATGTTATTCTAAGTATAGTTGCATTTATTGTTCTTTATTTATTTACTTTAAAAATTTTGGGTTTTCAAATTTTCTTTTGCAAGTAAATTTGTCATATTTAATGTCACATTCTAAAGGGATTATTACAGCACTGTTCTGTTATTATTGTAATCATTATCCTGTTTAGTGATTACAATAATTTTATGTCTATGGAAATAATTATTTATATGATTGTAAGTCGATTCCTCTATTTTTATTACATTTTGAAAAGTATTTTTTGCAAAGAGAAAGTTTGTATAAAGGTAGTTTCTAATTTCTTAATTTGCATGTCGCCTTATATTATATACTTTCTGAAAAAGGATCATATTGATTTACATACATATAATGAACTAATCCATATTTATGATGAAAAAATGTTTTAAATACACATGAATTTTTAAAACCATCTACGAGTAATAAGATTTTCATTCTTTAAGTAGATATTTATGGAGATTATTGCAATTTTCACAAGACAAGTTGATTAAATTGGATTAAATTTCATTAAACGTTTATTTTGCAATCCATTTTACTTGTACTAAAAATTGCATATCCATATCTATAATTCTATCGTTGTCACAAACTTGAATAAAATTTCTACCATATTTTGCCGCTTTCTTAAATGTTCAAGTGTTTATATATGCAGTACATTACGTATGTATACGTATATCTAGAACAAAAACGAATATTTTTAACATTTTTAAATTTTCTAGTAGTTTTCCGACTTTTTAGAAAAATTCTTTTCGAAACATAATATACATTTGCTTATTCATAAGTACCTATTCACATGTACAAAATTAAAAAAATTCAATTTAAAAATATTTTAAATTTTCAATATATTTGCTCTATAAACAATATATGTAACTACATAAATACATAAATATTTTTTCTTTTCTTTAAAAAGCATAAAAAAAAACAAATTTTATATTTTTAGAAAACCGAAATTTTCAAAATTAGCATACTTCGAAAAAATATTAAAAATTCAAATAATTTTTGACATTTCCTATTCCAAAAAAATTAAATTAAATAAATCAAACAAAGAACAACAAAATAAAGCTTAACCAAAGGAAGTTATTAAACAATTTAATAATAAAATAAAATAAAGTGTTAAAAATCAAAAAAAAAAAAATAAAAAGTTGTTCTAAATTGCGTTTTGTGTAATGGCTTTTTTGCGTTCTATTTGCCGACAACGAAAAAATTTGGTTTGTAGTACAACATCATCAACAGCAGCAACATCGACGTCATCAACATCTTCTGGATCAGCAATAATTTTTAGAAATTGCGATAATTCATCAATTGGAATAAAATTATATTCAACAAATTCATCATCATCATCACTATTAGGTTTAACATCATTTAAAAATATAAAAAATAAAAATCTTCGTAATCATGTACTCTTGAATGGTGAAAATTATCGTATTATAGGTTATGAAAGGATATTAAGTAACCAGCAACAACAGAAATGCTATTTTAATAATTCATCTAATAATCAACAATCGCAGCAGAATGAAAGTCAATTATTTAAAAACAAAAAGAAAACTGGTAATAGTGGCAATATCATTGGTGAAACAGCACAACAACAACAGCAAAATGATATAAATAATACTTTACAACAAAAACGTTATAGATCTCAAACTGTTGCAGCTGTTCAACAACAACATATTAATGATGCAAGAACATCATCATCAGCTGATAAACCAACACAACCTCAACGGGATCCATTGGATACAAGTTTTAATGATCCGATTGCTGCATTCAAAAGTAAAACGACCGGTGAATTATTACGTGGATATTTTGTATATTTATTATGTTCGAATCAAATGTTGGTTGAAAATAATATGAAGGTAAGAAATATTTTTTTATATTTTTGAAACTTAAATTATAATTAACTATTTATATTTGTATGTATGTAATATTTAAACTGAAATTGTCATGGATTTTTTAATTTTTTTTGCTTTTTGACTCAATATTTGACAATTCATTTTAAAATAAAATTTTTGTTAACTACAAAAATGTCATAAAGAAAAACCAAAGTAGAACAAATGATTTCCAATTAAAATGAATTTATACTTTAATCTACATATGCTTAGTTACAAATTTAAAAGGTAAATTCAAATATATGTTTGGAGAAATTTATTCAAAAATGCATTAAAACAAATCCTGAGAAACACAAAACTCAAACAATTTCTTCAAAATTATTTGAAAAAGAATCTTCAATTTCATACTAATTTGATTTTGTGGATTGAAAATTATTAATGACGAATTTTATTGCCTTCTTGAATTGTCTTATTGAATTATTAAGTAAAGATATTAGAATATTTTAAGTGATATTTTTTCCAAATATCAAAAACTTTGTCAAAATATAACCCCCTTTTTTAAAATTCTTGTTTTTATGATATTAAAATAGCAAAGTTTGAAATATGTAGAAGTCAAAGTCATATAAATTTAATTTCTATTTTGTGAAATGAAAATATGTTTAACTCCTTACCTTTTTAACCCTTTTCATCATTGTTGTCTATTCCAAATTGCTACTTAAAATTAATTATGTATTATTGAAATGATTTATTGAAATTAAGCTGTGATTGTCCAAACCATAGCTTTTACTCACTTAATATTGAAAGCATTGAGGATCAAGATGATCTAACCACCTTTTCTTTTAATCCATGACAATTTTGGGTGAAAATGCTTACATTTTCAATTTATATTTCGTACAAACCTTTCTAGATTTTGTTTACTTTTGAATACTTGTTTATATAGCGTATTGTATGTTTAAATAAGTAAAAACACCGGCTGCTATTTTTTTTAAATATTCTTAAGTTAGAATTATTTAATTGGAATAGTATAATTACATAATTATATTATACATTCCAATTGTTATTTTTAGAAAACAAAATTATGTACCTTCATATTATATATATATATATTGAAACATGTGCATGTCAAAAACTACTATAAGTATACCTTTTTTACTGAATCATTTTGCACTAGGCGCACATACAAAATAAAATGTCTAAGTATATCTTATTACGAGATTACCTACAGAATGTTTATACACACATTTTGTACACATATATTATATGTGTGTGCAAAAATAGTTTCATTATTATTTTATATTTAAATAATATATAATCGATAACATGCACATGCTGCAAATACTTAGTGCGAGGTAGATATGTAAAAATGTTTTAATCCTTTTTTTTTTATTTTAAATATTTTTTCGTATAAACGCCATTTAAAACTTAATCGTAGAAAAATCAATAATTAAATATTCTAAAATAAAAAACAATAATTATTTTTATTACGTCTACATATTTACATGCACATGCACATACTACCTACTTACATATGTAGATACTCATATTAAAAGCAATTTTATTTCAGAAACTATTTTCTTCTACAATGTTAGGCGTTTAATTTTTAAATTTGTACGTTTTTATTTTGTGGTTTTATTATTATTTGTCAATACCACAGTTCTGGGATACCTACCCTATATATTTTTTTATTATTATACTCTTCATAATAGTTTTTATATTGGTATTTGCTTTACTTCCACAATTTTTATTCGATATACATAACTCGATTTGATTTTGTATTTTCGGGCCAAGAAATAAAATATGGTATATTTAGTTATAGGTTTTGTTCTATTTTAATTTCAACAATATATTACAATACTTTGTAGCCCTCTTATTTTCTAATTTAGTAATATACAGAGAAATGCCAATATATTTTTTGTGTATAAGATTTACTTTTAATACCTTTGCTTCTTCAATTTTTTGAACTTTATTATTAAATGAACAAGTAAAAACGTTTGAACCTTGGCAATCTGAGCATAAAGTCTTGTTTTTGAAATAATTTAGAATTAGCTTTTATGGTTGTATGGCAACTACCCGAGACTGTCTAGCGATTCCAAAAGCTATTAGAGTTGTGTGGCGGCTATCCGAACCTGTTGGGCTATTCCATAAAATCATTGAAAATACTTCTGTCCCTTAATTGAACCCATGACTTTCAAGATTCATAAATTTAACTTTATTATTTTCCTGAACATATAAAATTACATTTTAGAGTTGTATGGCAACTAACCGAACTAGTGATATTATAATTATAATTATGTGATATATCTTTGTTAAAAAAAACAACTGAAATTTTGCGAAATTTGCATAGTTTCTATTACAAATTTGAAAAACTTTTCTATTATGAATGTAGAGTTTTACATGCGCATTTTTACATACAGGCAAGTAAATTTTCTTTTCAACGAACTTCCACTTCGTGGATTATTCATACTTTGAAATAAAAAACAATTTGAAAAATATATAAAGAAAGAAATTCAATAGAAAAAGTATACTGGTTTGCATTTCCCTTAAATTTACCTTTTCTCTAAACTTTTAATTATAGAAGTTGTAAGTATATATTTTCTTTAATACTGAAAGGATTCAGTTTCAAAAGGTTTATTTTAAAGTTTTATGATTTGGTTTTTTTGGTACTTAGTTTGATTTTATTACTATCCAAGTGGTTAATATAAAATTTAGTGGGAAATGCTTTTAAAATTGTTATTTGTACAGAAATACTATTAAGTGTATTAGTGAAGTGTATTAATACATATTAAGTGTATGAGTGAAATTTTTAGTGAAATTATTTTGGCACTCTTTATTTAGTTAGAAAGAGAAAAAAAACTAATAATATAAATAACAAAAAAATATAGTAAAAAGTTATTCAGCGAATCACTTATTTGAACTGAAAAGATATTTAAATCATTTCTTAAAAGACTCGTACTCCTTCAGATTGTTAATTAATATACAGCAATTCTTCTTTGAATAATTCCAAAGTAATTTAAATAGGTAAATAGTGCGAGCACATAAAAGTATAATTTTTCAAATGCATAAAATATCTAATAAGAACGATGTTATATATTTTGTAGGTTCTAATGAGTATTAGTTAAGAAATTTTAAAAGAATAACAAATTCAATTCGAGCGTTAAGTAAATTATTGAACAAGAAGTAAAACCGTTTCACTCGGCCTAAACTCTGCGCCTTGCCAATGTTAGTACATAAAAATATAATTTTGAAATATTTAGTATTAGCTTTAAGGGTTGTATTGTAGCAAATATGTCTGACCATGATAACTTGACACACGACTGCAAATTTTCATGAATCTTATATTCGGAATAATAATAAAGCTAGATCCATGAAACTTGGCAGTCACGTGTTCAATTACAAGTAACACATATTCTTGAAATTTTTGGGAATGGTTTGACAAGATCAAGTAACTCATACGCCCAAGAAAGCTAATTTTAAATATTTTTATATTGTCGAGGTGCACGGTATAATTCAGTCGGTTCAGTATAATTATATTCACCTATACATAAAAAGTTCATTCCACTCATATTAATTGTAGTTAATTCAAATTTAGAAATTTTTTTCATACTCACAATAAATTAATCTTAACCTTATTATTTTAATTTTTAGATCAAAATTTTAAATTTTATAATTAGTGTATTTCAAAATTCATAAAATAAAAATTGTTTTTATAAAAGTAATAAAATCTAACCAAAAAAACAACAATTATTGTTCATTTTATTCAGACGTAACCACTCAAGTAGATAATCAGTTGTATTTTATTGTAGATTAAGTAGATTTATCAGTTGTGTTTTATATTTAATATACAGAAAATAAAAAAAAATTATAAATAAGTATAAGAACAAATACTATTATCTACCCCCAAGGACTCTTAATTCATATATTCATTTACATAAAGGGTTATGGTTAAAAATACATGCATTATGAGTATTGCACACACGTATATTTTACTATTATATAAACAATTGAATTTGATGTGATTTCGACAATTAAATATATACGTGTGCAAGTACAGAACATTGAAAATCTTTATAGTAATAGTGAACTTTAGCAGTATTAATATCCTGGACTTCATACATATATGTATTGAATTCGTACAAAATTAAATTATTTTTATTAGAAGGGATTATATGAGGATGACGAGAGACAGAAACAAACGAAGTTTCAAAAATTTTAATAAAATGAAAAAAAATTATTCATACGTACAACCATAAACTCCTATAATGTAATATAAATATAAAGATGTCTGTGGTAAAACATAGTTTTAGGAAAAATATATATTTACATACATATATGAATGCGTATATGAGAATTCTAATTTCGAAACTCCAAATAAATGTGTTTTGCTTTCAAAAAATTCGCTCTTTCAACTAGGAATTATGTAAAATTTTAGAGAGAAAAATCAACTGTTTCCCACGAATCGCTGTACTGTAGGGTTTCTATAGTTTTCGTTATTAATTTAATTTACAAAAAAAATTCAATATCCCTTCGATAAAAAAATATAGCCATTTTAAAGGTTATTTTCAGATCTTGTATACAAAAATCGATTTAATATTTTTTATATCTCTAGCATTTTGAAAAACTCACGTCGACATTAAGCGACATTTTTGCCGATTAGTTCTGAGGTTTAACTGGTTAGATGAACTAAATGAAAATTTTAAATTGGCATCAAATTTTAAAGCAATTTGTAACAATACTGCAATCTTGTTACATATTATGTACGTATATAGATGCTGTTTTTAATGGGATTTGAATCAATCTTAATTAAGGTTAAAATTTATTGTCCAGCTAAATTTATTTAGCTCTATTCTTTTGAAAAACTCTTTTCAAGTCATGTGTATTTTGAGATCTATACGTGTATGTATTTATTATTTTGAGCAAACTTACTTCTCGATAATGTTTAACGCTTTCTGATTCGAAGCATATAAGCGTATTAACTTAATGGAAATTTCTTCATACAACTGCAGAACAGATGGATAACGTAATCAAAG